GGATTGATTCTTGTTGAATTTCATTGAATAAATTATTGTTTGATTTTTACTAAATACTGTATATAGTTTATTACTAGAAGTTTAATTAAATATTTGATTTTGTTATTGACAAACTTTGTCATTATTTAATTCGGTGCACGCTTAAAGTCCAGGCCTGGCACACTAACGCGAATCCGCGTAAAGTACCCGTTAGGGAACGGCTATTTCCGGCACGCAAGTAGTGTCGATAATCGTTGGAAAAGTCGGAAAAATAAAATAGTACTTTACAAACATTACAAGACAAAGAAATGTTTTTATCATCCTGTGGGAAAACTCATGCAATTTTATTTGCATTCAGTATACTTTGATAAGAGCTCCACATATTACTCTCAAAACATCTAAATCAATACACCTATCTCTCTTTTTATTAGGGTGGATCAAATGAAAACGGAACAGCGGTCATAATTCGGTGTATGTGTATGTGAGTGTAACAAAACTGTGTGTAGATGTAGAGCGGAAGCTGAAAGAAGAGAAACCCTATTGAGGAATGGTAAACGTGCGCAACCATGTGATATGAGCTGGTGGTCAGCCAGGAGTATCATCTGGCAGGCAATCAGTCTGCATCATGTTTGTGACTAAAGAAGAACAACGTGGTGTTATTCGTTATCTTGAACTACCAACCAGAAAGCAAACGACAAAGCCAACAGTGGAAACATCTCAGCTCCCCACTGCCAAAAAAGTCCAGGATGATGCAGAGTAAGGGCAAAATAATGTTGATGTTTTTTTTTCAATGTGAAAGGCCCGCTTTTCATTGAGTTCCTGGCCCAAGGTCAAACAATGATCAGTACTTCAATATCCTGGAACATTTGCATGCAACAATCAAAGCCAAGTGGCCAGGAATGTTATCCTCTGGAGTGCTTTTGCTCCACAACAATGTGCATCCACATACAGCCACTCGCACACTGAGTATGCTTGTGAAGTTTCGGTGGAGTGTGTTAGAACACCCATCATACAGCCCTGACCTTTCACCATGTGACTTTCACATCTTTGGTCTGCTAAAAAAAGCATTGCGGGGTCAACGTTTTCAATCACACAGCAAAGTCATGGACACTGTTCGAAACTGNCTTGTGAAGTTTCAGTGGAGTGTGTTGGAACAACCACCATACAGCCCCAACCTTTCACCATGTGACTTTCACATCTTTGGTCTGCTAAAAAAAGCATTGCGGGGTCAACGTTTTCAATCACACAGCAAAGTCATGGACACTGTTCGAAACTGCTTCCACATACAGCCACTCGCACACTGAGTATGCTTGTGAAGTTTTGGTGGAGTGTGTTGGAACACCCATCATACAGCCGACCTTTCACCATGTGACTTTCACATCTTTGGTCTGCTAAAATATAAAAAAATAAAAAATAAATAAAAAAAAGCATTGTGGGTTCAACGTTTTTAACTGGACAGTGAAGTCATTGAAACCAGTTTCGAACAGTGTCCATCTCAGCCAAAAACTCTTTCTACGAACAAGGTATTCACACTTGGTGCAATAGTGGGACGAGTGCTTGTGTAATTTTGGTGATTACATTTGAAAATAAATAATGGCTACTGTTCTGTTTTCATTTGATCCACCCTTATACATGCTGTATTTTTATATGATTTTGAAATAATATGGTTAACAAAAGAAAAATAATCCTTTTTTTACATGATCAATTTTTTTACATGTGAGAAAAAACAGTTGAAAATTATTTATTTGTGTAGAAAAAGTACAATGATATTATTTATCAAATATGAAATTCATAACAATAATAAATTAATATACTAAACTTAACTTTATAAACAAAATATTAAAAGTAACTTTTAATTTAGCAAAAATCAATAAGATCATACTTTTGTTTTATTNCAAATAATGTCATTTTTTATGCATAACATAAATAAAAATTATTTTAATTGACTCAAAGTTAAAAACCTCATTAAAAACTAATTAATAATAATTGATATAAATTTGATACAAGCAATATTTATTTGCTTTCAATGTAAAATAAAAACTTAATTTTATTAACTAATGTTATAAACTTATTCATGAAAACAACCTATAAAAATTCATATATAGTTAGTTCTAACAGCTAATCACCTACTAACACAAAATAACATCTGTCCTATTAACTCAGAAGTTCTTGCTTTATTTATGAAAAATATAAGAATTTTCATTTTAGCAATGTCAACTTATTTGCAACATAAGAGAATGCACTATCAGTGAGACCACTTGAATTTTTATGCATTACTAATAGTAAAGTAAACAGCAAACTTATTATTTTTATCTAATGTTAAAATTGTTAAATATCAAATAAAATATTAAACAGCACAATCTCAAACTAATAAGCAACAAATATTTAACAAACTATAATTTAAAAATTTGAATTTTATTTGTCTTGCACAAAAAAAACCTGCAAAACTGTCATAATTTTTAAGTGTTTTTTATAATAATTATTATTTATGTACAGCCAGTCAGTCATTTTAAATAATTTGTAAAATAAATACTTTATTACATTTTAGAAGTCAATGTTATCAAACATTGTCTTACAGACTAATAATAATAATAATAAAAGCAAAACAATGGTTATTATTTATTATACAGGATATTCCACTTAAACCGGCCTTACTGAAATGATGAAACATTAATAATGTAAATTTTGTAGGGAATATTTGAAAGGTAAAATGTATAAGAATCTCAGAACTATATAAAAAATAAAGGAAAGAATTCAAAGAAGCATTAAGGTTACTGACATTAGTATTTTACATATCAGTTTGAACATGATTGTGTGTACACAAACATGTTAGATAGACAGATAAACATGTAACATAACACAGATACACAAGAACACCACTTTCAGCATCTTCCACAAATTTCTACATGTTTAAATAATGTGAAAATAAAATTTCTAATGAGTGCCTAAGTTAATGTGTATTGTTTTCAGTGAGTGAAGCCAATTTTACATGGAGCACTTTTATGAACCTATAGGATTCATAGTAAGTAATTTAATGTAACAAAAAAAAATTTGAAATGAATTCAAATAAATAATTACCTCAACTTGTTTATTTAACTTTTCACATACATTGAATGTATTATTATATTTCTCTTCAAAATCTTTTGTTTTCTGTAAGAAATAATTATTCTCAATGAAAATACAATATATACATGCAAAAAGAAATAATTCAAAACGTGTTCTAATAAATGTTAAGAAATAGTAATCTTGTTTAACATTAAAAATTTACAAGTTTTTCTCAAAATCATCATAATATTGCTGTGTCATATGAATCCAAATGAAAATATTATAGCTAAATCTTATACAAATTGTAAAAAATATCCTGTTCTCTGTTTACAATTAACTATAAAAAGAAATAATTTATTGATTATCTTTAAAGACACCAGAAAATACTCTGAAAGTTCAATGATTGATATGTTTTCCTGAATACTCTAATAAACATAAATTTTATGCTCAAGTTAGTTGAGAATTCATTATTTTGTCTGATTAATCACATTGGGTTTTTTGGACTTTTGCACATTTTCAGTTAATGAGCAAAACTTTCACATTATCACAAGGTGACACTTTCTGCTAATTTTAATTTCATTAACACAAAAATTATTTGTAAAAATTGAATTTTGTTGACCCATTTTCTGTTTAATCTATGATTATGACATTTTAAATAATGAATATGCTACAGTGCACAACAAAACTCAAGATGTCAAGAAAAATTCTTCTTTTTTAGTTCTCTGAAAACAGAACTCTTTGTAACATGTGATTCTATTGTTAAACTTTCAGACATTTGACTTTTGTACACATTTTCAAAAATACATTATGGCCAAAAGTTGGAACTTCTTAGTAACTTCAATTTTTTGTTATTACATCTTTTGCATCTAACTTTCATTATCATTTACCATAATCTCTCTCTCTACTTTTAATTAAAATTTGTCAAAGATAGATTGATAATTTAAGTTTATTTTTAAACTGTCAGAAGAATCAGTATTAAAAGAAAATATAGTTAATAAACAAAAGTAAATAAAATTTAAATATTGAAAATGATTATTTTAAATAAATACAAAGTGAAATTAAAGTTAAACACAAATTTTAAAAATTCTTGTTGAATTAATCAAAAATTACTTAACTTAAAAAAATATGATTCAGAAGATTTGCCAATTGCAGAGTATATTTAATATAAATAATCAATATTAGATGGAAATTTACTTAATATTTTCTACTTCTATTTGAGCATTGAAAAGAAAATACCATTTCATTCATAATACAAGCACCATCTTTGTTTCATAAAATATTTTAGGAGAAACTAATAACAAGTAAATCTAAATTATTAACAAAAATCATCTGTAAATACCAAAGTCTAAAAAACTAATATAATTTAAATTTAAATAACTTAATTGATTACCTGTGTGACTGTGTGACTACCAACTATTTATAAGTTCCATAAAGTTTAATATTTTTAAGTTAAATTTTTTAACATAATAATCAATAGAATGTGCTTAAAATAAAAATAGGTTTATCTTCAAATTGTTGAAATTTGTCCAATATGCAGTTAATTTCATGCTGGAGTTTATTTTTAAAAATTTTAAATGATTAATAGATCGACTTAATGAAAAATTGTTATATATTTCTTTAAAATAATAGTTAGATATCTTAAACAAGATTACTAAAACTTTCAAATCATATTTTTGTTAAAAAATACTTTTTAAATTTATAAAAATTAATTAAAAAAACTAACTTCAAACAATTTATTTATATTCTCCAATTCTTTGTTTTTCTCTTCTAATTCCTGCTTTAAATTTACAATGTCTTCCATTAATTGCTTTTGCTTGTTATCCTCTTCAGATTTATTTTTTTCCAAGTTATTTGCTTTCTCTCTCAAATTTCTATTACTACTCTGTAATGATCCAACAATGTCTTCTGCTTGTTTTGCTTCACGTTGTGCAATTCTTAGATCAATTTTAATTTCTGAAATTTCTGATTCTTTCTGAATTATAAAAATTTTCAAAAATAATAATAATCAATTATTACACAAATAAAATATAAATTTTTGATGCATTTATTACCATAAAACTAAATGATTAAAAATTTTTCATTAATATAGTTAATAAAATATTCTTAGTTACTTTAAATAAATTATTTAAAGACAATTATAACAAAAATTTTAAGTATTAACATGTTTTTATGCATGTGTCATCTCTCATATTAAAAATAAACAGCAAACCTTTTTTAACTGCTGCTGTAAGTCATCTGTTTTCATACGCTGTTTTCCAAGATTTTCTCTAACTTTCTCTAAATGAGTTTCAAGTTGACCCACTTTAGTAGTAAGATAAGCATTTTCTTGCTGAAGAACAGATAACTTATCTAATGATTTTCTGTTTATGAAAAATTAAATAATACTTGTACAAGCAGTTAATAAATTAAAACACAACTAAGATTAATCAGATTATGATCTATGTAAAAATGTTCAGAGTTGAATTCAAATCAACTTTGAAATTCAAGTTAAAATTTTATAAAATGAGATTCTATATTCTGACATATACTTCATTGAATACTGAAAATAAATATTAGATAAAGAATGTGTTAATATTTAATTAAAGTTTTTTATTGAAATATCTATAGTTAATATATATATATATATATGTAGGGGAGTATAGTTATGTAAAGAATAAGCAGTAAAAATTTAAGATGATCTAAAAGATTATATCATTCTCAAAAATTTAGATAATTTTGAGATATAACTACAATGTTCAAATGGCATTACACATTAACAGTCTTAATACAATGTTCACATTTTGTAAATAAGCAAATTAGTAAATTTGATGTCTTCAAGGTATCAAAAAGAAAGTAAATTTATATCTGGGGGAAAAAAACAGGATTTAGTAATTAAAATAAGAAGTAAAACCAATAAAATACATAGCTGCTAGTGCTTGTTAAGTTATGGCAATGCAACACTTGGGTGCTCTGCCTAGGGGGAGATGCCTTCCAGGATGTCTTTTTAAAGGAAATTGACCCCTATTTAGGCATTACGGATGTGGAGAAAACCCGGAAAACTATGTGGCCAGTCCGTCCGAGCAAGGTGCAAACCCACAACAGAACTCCCAGTGTTCAGGGTACAAAGACCGCTTGGCTATTGGTCACAAAGGATGATAGTGTGAGGATTCAATTGTAACAAATTATTTTCTTAATAAGTTAGAAATTTGATGAAATACAGTAGAGCGTCGATTATCTGAAAGTCAAATTATCCAAAACGTCAATTATCCAAAAGAATTCCAGTCGGCAAATTTAAGTTTTCGCCAGTGCTGTGGCACTGCAATCTTTGGCTATGTCTTGGGCTACTCAAATATTTTACGTTTTTGATACTAAATTAACTTCTGAAGTATAATTTTTTATTGTTTTTATATTTTTCAATATATTTATTTTGTTTGTACAAAATAAAAAAATTTTTAACAATACAATAGTCTTTGTTATGCTTAACATCGACAAAAATTCAACATGAAGCGACACGCAACGGAGAAAAATTTCAACATGGGATAGGTTAATATATTTTTTCGTACATAATCAATTATTCAAAATATCAATTTTTCTGAACAACCCCAGTCCGCAATTGATTCGGATAATCGACGCTCTAACCAATAAATTCAAGTAATATTTTAACATTAAAGTGACACATTTGTCACCTTATTTAGAAGAGACCTATGTTGAAGGGAAGTGAAACTTCCTTTTTCCAAGATTTTATCACACATCTCCGTAAAACATCTGTCATACGAACCAGGTAAAATATCCTGTTAGACAACAGTTCATCCCATCAGATGATGCAAAACTCAAAGAGTATGATTAGAGAAATTTACTGATAAAAAGGACAAATTCTCCTTATGTGGGGCAGTTCACTAAGATTCGGAACATGCCATACTTGACAGGCAGTCAACAGTATCCCACAACTGCCATAAGGAGAGACAGCTATAGAAAGGAGGCTCCAGATAACAGGACAGACATGAGATGATATCTGCATAGAAGAAGCAACCAGGCATAGAAGACCCCATCTCGATTCTCTCCTCATCCAAGCCATCCTCATCTCCATATCCAACAACCAAAAACATACATATAGGCTTGTTTAGGAAGCCCGTGTATAGACAGTCTCCAAAAATCGTGGAATGCTCAAAGCTCACTCCATTTGTTCCACTGACATATAACATTTATGGATGTAAAGGACAGCTAGATCTACCTTAATCGCTTTAGTTCCTAGCAATTTTTGATGTAAATGTAATTAAACATAAAAAATACTTAAAACTGAAAAAAAACGAAAGAAATGTGTTAATTTTGAAGAAAAAGCTTCAAATTTTAACTTCCTTTGTCCCACCTTCTGTGAAATTTAACACCGATGAATCATTGTTTACACATCTGGATGACCTTGAACTCAGCTGAGGTTGGATTTCCCGGGCATTCTGATAGACGTCGCGGGAGGACAAGGATTTAAAGTAGGGTGAACAGTAGCTGGCCGTATATTTTTAAATATTTTTAAAAAATTTGGAGACTTAAAAAACATTCCAAAAATTCAAAAAAAAAATTTCAAAAATGGCCTTAAGGACCGTGTTTTATGNTGTATTATTCTTTTTCTTTGAACTTTATTATAGATATATCTAATATATATATTAAATTCTATTTGTTTGTTACTCAACTGTCTATTCTTTCACATGACCCTATCGACTTACCCGCAACTCTCTCCACTCATTGCATTTTTAGCCCCTCCAATATTTGTAAGCCATCCAGTGACCCAGTGTGAGAGTCTAACAGACCCAATGACTAGAAGGACCAATACCTTCGCACGTATTCTGACAATAGTTTATCTCATAAAATGTAAGATAGCTAAATGTATTTCTTCTAGAGAGAAAACGTTAGCATAAAATGGGAAAAATAGCTACAATATATTATATATAATATATTGTATATATATAATACTGCTAGAAATTTTAGTGTTGGAATTTCAAAAGATGTTATATATCATATATTAAAGACAAATTCAAATATGATTATTGTCATCTTGAAACAAATACCATTACTGATACTTAAATAACAGAAAAAAAAAGAATATTGGATATAAGTATTTACAAAAACAGCTTACACTGAAAGTTAAATATTAAAATTTAGCATTTATGTTGAGTCACAAGACATTTGTAAATTATCAAAAGTAATAGCAAAATGTCTGATTTCTTGCAGACATAAATTAATGATCCAGATTAAATTTCCCATACAATGATGCATCACTATATTCTTGAATTAAATTGTGGTTATAGATTATGAAGCAGACAGTACATAGTCCTGATCTAAATCCAAAAATATAAAATATATAAACTTATAAGTGTATTTTGACACAATATATGTATGCTTTGAGAAGAATATAGGAATTGATAATTTAATATAGAACAAGAATAATACCAAAATCTTGTCCTATTTATGGAAGATCATATTTGAAGCCATTACTGCAGGTGGAAAAGCTAAAGATAAATAAACAAAAAAAAAAAAAAATACTAACACTATGTTCAAAATGTGAGCATAGTATTTAAGGTCTTGAAACTAATATACATTTTTCTTCTACTCTCAATCATTTCAGGCAATTTTCATTGTTAACTTTCAATTTCAAAAGTAAATAATGAAAATGTCAGCCTATATATATAAAAGTTAGCCTAATAAATTTATCTGTAGCATACTGCTTTAGTAATTTAATTACCTAAACTTCAAAAGAGAACTTAATGTAAGTTTTATGATTATTAACTTTACCTTTACCAATTAAATTAATTCACATTTTATAATCATTTATTAATGTTATTAATGTAAAGAATCTAGATCATCTAAATTATGAAATTTAAAAAAAATTGTACTCAAAAGAAATAATATACAAAATCAATTAAAATCAATAATGAAAATGTATATTTTCTCTTACTTCTGTAACAGCATCAATGAAGAATAATATATTGATCAACTAAAAAAAATATTTTATTTCTACATTTTCATATCAAAAAGAAAAATTTTTAATTTAATGAAAGCACCAGACTAATTATATAATAAAACAGTGTAATAATAAATTAATTTATTAAATTTTGTAATGAGACCTATTAGTCAGAAAAGAATTTGATGAATTAGTGAAGTAAAGTGGATAAATTTTCATATTTTGAAACATTTTTCTATAATCTCAAATTACACCATATTCTTATAAAAAAAAGTTTTATTAAAATAAATGTTACAAAAAGTTTTAAATGATAAGCAGTGGCATATACAAAATGAATAAAACAATTAAAATCAAATATTGTTTAGTATTTATATTTCAAATCATTTCATGAAAATGTTATATATTTCATTCTGTCAAAATGACTATTATTGAATAAAAAAAAAAAAGACAATATATTATTTAAAAGAAAAGTACACACATTTGTCAAAATCTACAAAATAATGTATAATTATAATTATTACTAATACTCAAAGATGTATACCTACCTCAAGCACTGATTATTAGCAGATTAAAATTAAAGAAAATAGCAAAAAGTTATTAATAAATTGTAATATAAATAATATTTTTTTTACCACAATAAAAAACTTTAACCAACCTTAATTCTCCTCCTTCCTTATTTACAACTTGACGACTTTTAATATTGCTATTCTCTTTTTTCAGTTCTTCAACATGGGTTTCTACTTTACTAATTTTCTATTTGAAAGACACATTGATTAAATAAATAAAATCCATAAAATTTTACTTATATATACTATTCTCCTATTAAATTATCCAGATACTTGCTAATCTCTCTTTTTTATTTTTTGAAAACTAACACTAAAATTTTTAGCATTATTACAGTTTCTAGAATAACCATCCTCCATCAATTTTCTTTCATACATCAAGCTCAAAAATTTGATTATGCCACTTTTTAATGGCATATTACAATTGTTGCCTTCATTTTTTTCATTAGTGTCCTCTCTCCTATACTAGATCTAATTCTTCACAAAGATTGTCTATAAGATAATCATCTAAACAAAGTTTGAAATAGTCCATCATACTTTTTAGCCTGTCTGAAGTATGACATGCAATATGAGGAATTGCATTATCACGCAGATGTACAATATAGTACATAGTCCAGATTCAGAACCCTCTGATTTTTACTTCTTAAGAACATCCTGTTGACTTACAGTTCTCAGAGAACAACGATGAAATTAAAGATACAGTCATGAACTTATTCGAATCATTAAAAAATTAAAGTATGTTATAAAAGATTGTACCTTATTTTTGGGACGTCTTATATATATACACATTTCATGTAAGGCAATGTACAAATTTACATAAAATACAATTGCAAACTCCATATTTAAATATGAAATAATTTAAATTTTAAAATGCTCAAACAATCTCATTTATTCAAGCAATAATTCAAATAATTTTTTCTTTCATGTATCAAATTTTAAATAAATAAATTCTTACAATAAAAATTCTAGTTTCTTAACTAGAATTTTTAACTTGTTCTTAAAAATTGTCTTAAAAGCAAATACATTAAGAAAAACATTTACAGTAGCAATAACAAATTTATTAATATTTATGACAGAATTTGTTTGTACATTGCTTAATTTCAATTTCAAATGTAATATCAGAAAAAATTATTAAATAATTACTTACAGATTTTAATTCAGAAACTGTGTTAACTAACTCAAATTCTTTCTCTTGTAGATTGTGTATATCCTTTTTATATTTATCATTAAATGCCTTTAATTCTTGTATTTCTTTTTCAGAATTCTATTAATAAAAGAAAAAAATTACACACACAATTAAGGTTCATATTAATTTTTGATACAGAATTAATTAATAAATACAATATAAATGAATACAGTACTTAATGTTATACTTTTTCATTGCAGTATTTAAAATATTAACTAAATCAAACTTGTTTAAATCAAAATGTAAAAATAATAATAAAGACAGAATTAAATACTGGGGGAAACCCATTCAGTTTAATTTCAGATATTACAACATATATAATTTTACTAAAACCAAATCTATTTTAAAGGATCTTAATATTTAAAGTCAATCTCATTATTATGATAGATTTTTTGTAATTTGCAACTTAAATGCAAAGTTAATTTGCTGCATTTACTTTAAATGTTTTAAAAATTATTTCCTTAAACTTTGTCCCTATGTATTTTTAACATAGAAAAACATTGTATCATAAATAATTGCGGGTTACAAGTATTATAAGCATATTATTTAAATTTTTTATTCTATTTCTCCAATAAATCTTTTTCTTTTACTGCTTTAACAAAATTAAAAACAAACTATTTTCATATAATTTCTTTTGTTATAAGCTTTATTTCATGGTATTGTAATTTTACATTGTAATTTTATATAGAGTTCTGTCTTTATGATAATGCAATAACTAAACAATTTTCACATTGAGAAACATTAAAATTTTTTATGATATGTTAAAAATTTCTAATTAAAAATTACGAGGGGCGCTTCTGTCTGCCGAAGCTGCTGGCACGTTTTTTTACTCACTTCAATTATAGGTAAAGATGTATCCTGTCAAATAATTTTACGTTAAAATATTACTTGTTTGTGCTGTGTGTTACATTATAACTGTTGGAAAATCTATCAACATAATTAATATGCAACGCTCGCCAATTAAAAGAGGAAGACCACCACTTCAAAAGTCAAAATCAACTAGTAGAAAGGAAACTGCTTCGACCACTAATACCAGGTTAATTACTGATTACAATTTACACGTCGAAAGAACTTCTCCTGAACCATCTTCTGCAAACGCAGGTTTGAACCCTGAAACTACACTTCTAAGTTCACAACTATCAGGTGAGCCATATGATTTTTTATCTTCTTCGCCAGGAAAAAATTCATCTGATATATCAAGTATAACACTATGGAATAAAATTTCTGAATTAATTAATGTTTCTAATACGAGAATATTAAGTCAAATGACTATTATCAAAGAAGATTTGGACCAGATTCGTAATAGTATCCAAGAAACTAAAGTCCAGAATCAAAAAATGAATAGCCAAATAATTAATCTTGAACAACAAATTGCTAATTTGAAAATAGAAAATGAAAGTATGCAATATCGAATGGACAATATGGTTAATGCGCAACATCGAAATAATATAATGTTATATAGATATCCCAGTAAAACTAGTCCTACCAAGCTAGAAGTGTTTAATCTTATTAATGAATCATTAGAATTACATGAAGTTACAATGGATGATTTAATAGCGATTATTCCAATAACTAAATCACAGTATCCAACAATTAAATTAATTATTAAAAATACCCAAATAAGAGATTATATATATTCGAGTTTTATAAAAATGAAACAGCAAAACCTATCGAACGTATGGAAAGAAACTCAAATTTCACAGGATCTTATAAAAAGATCTAGATTAAGACGTAAACAATTAATTCCTTTTTTAAGCGAGTTAAGGAAAGCAGGTAAATATCCAAAACTCCGAGGTGATACTATACTGTTGGGCAATTATTTTTTGACGTATAGCCATGTGTTGGAGGGGCTGGTATACTTGGATTCTTTTACCCCGTATTTTACTTCTGAGAATACTCCGCAATGACATATGATCAATTTAAACACTCCTATTCAAGATTTACGTATTGTTGAGTCTCAATTATTAAGTCCCTTGCCTGCAGCACATAATAATAATGAAAGTTTATACCGGATATAAGAATTTAAGAATGAAAATTATTAAAGCATTACTTCAGTTTAAAAATTATCTACATCAACGGTATTCAGTCAATATCGTTAAGCCAAAAATTTGTATTTCAATCTATTAAAATCTAAGAAATCAAATTACTATAAAAAAATTCAACAAATAATCTTAGAAAATAAAAACAGTGAACTTTTAAAGTTTACGATTAAGAAATTACGATGTTTCAATTGTGATCAATCAATGCAAATAGATTCTTTTAAATGGATAACTCTATTAACAGATTTACAGGAATTACAGTCTTCCTTATGCCGATATAAAAAATTTCTTTCAATGAAAGTTTAGATATTCCAATATCTATCGAAGAACTGGATATATCAATTCGTAAATTAAAAACGAAAACAGCTCCTGGAATGGATATAATTACCACTAATTTATTAAACTTCTTCTGCCAGCGGGTATGCAAGTTCTACTTGTTCTTTACAATCATTTTTATAAATCATTTATTATATTCTTACTGAGTGTCCAAAGATTGAAGAAGCGTAATGTAAATTCAAATTAAAAGAGTTTTTTGATTTAAATTAAGAAGAAAACTTCAGAACCAATCAAGAAAAAATTCCATTGTATAAGATGTATAATATTCATTACTTTTTTGTTCATATTTTAAAGAATTTGAAATATGATATGTAGATTGAATGATTAATATGTTATGTTTAGCAAATTTTATGTAACAAGATATTTAAAAAAATGTTTCAATAAGTATCAATTGTATCTTTTGTAATTCTCTAAAGTTAACCCCCTGTAACAAGATCTTTCTTATTACAATAAAGTATTTGTAATATTTATTTATTTATATTAAAAATTACCTGTAATTTGGATTGTAATTCTTCTTCTTTAATATTAAATTGTTCACTACTTTCTTCTTTTGCACATTTTTCTTCTTGTAATGCAATCTCTAAGGCCTTATAAGAATAGAAAGTTAAAATAACACAGAAATATATAGGATTATAACAAATAATAACTGAAGCTAATCTACATTCCAAAAAGATTGCATTTTTTCAAATGAATTTTTGGTAAAGTAAAAATTATAATAAAAAATTTCACATATTTAATGTTTAAGTAATGTTAAAATAATATTCTTAATAATAAATTTTTACTCTTAAAGCAAAAAATATGATAAATCTAAATTTACTCTATCCTTAATCTATATCGTGATTTGAATTGATTTACAGGGTATGTAAATTATGAGAAATTTCATAGCAAACAAAAATTTAGATAAAAATGAATTCTATGTACATGACAACAATTAAAAACAAATCACTGCACAAGTAAATTGGAAATATAATTACTTATAAGTTAATTACTTAGACATCAAGATTCGGGTAGTGTCTAATGAGTTAAACACCACAATTTATCACAAACCTACAAATGTCTCCCTCTTCATACCATCAAATTCAGCTGACCCATGGTCATATAAAGGCAGCCGCTTCCCGCACACTAGTCATGAGAGCATACTGACATTGTACTGAGCTGTCAGATACCAACAAGGAGCTTGAGCAACTGAAACATATTGCATCCAACCACGGATACAGTCACTCAATAATCAACACTGTAGCTTCTACACATCTAGCTAAGTCATTCAACATCAATACAAGAAGTAACAAAACAGAGTAATCAGGTAATCCTAAGCTATGAACCGTCCCTGCATTACATTTACAAGAAGACTGCCAAAGATTTAAACCTACATGTAACTTATAAGAGGAAACCCAATGTTTTCTGCCTTCTGTCTAATGCTAAAGACAGCACAGAGGACACAAGAGTACCAGGAGTTTACTGTATCCCATGTACAGGATGAATGGTTTAACAGGAGACTAACATATATCAGATCCACTTACAGATCTCTTTCAGGGGTTACGTGATCACAAATACAATGTAGCAAAGGGAAATATTAATATTGCTCTGACCCATTATGCCACCGATCTGGGAGTTCCCCATTGGGACGAGGCTACCCTGATACACAGTCTTTGACAGACACAACTTCTATGGCCTCCAATGATCATTGGAGGCCATAGAAATCTACAGAGCTGACAAAAATGAAACATGCATCAACATGAATTGCGTTCCAATTCTGCACGCCTGGAAATATTATTTAGACTCCCAAATTTATAAATTTAAGTTTATTAATATTTTCATTTTAAAAANATAATCCTCAGATACCTGGTAATATTTTCTACATGATATGAAGCACTTTATTACATGGTAAAAAATAAAATTTATTTATACGTCAGATAGCATTTGCGGGAAGGATTTAAATCTGTTATGTAATGTTATAAAAAAAAAGTTTTCAACTTATGATTTGCCACTATTTTCCAAGTAATTAGTAATTTTTAATATAAAATAACTGATGATAATAAATCATATTAGTAAAAAACTACTTTTTCACACTCTAAATTAAAAAAAATTCACAGAACTTTCATAGTACAAATTATTATTTTTTTCCTGTGATGAACTTTTCCTAAGTCAATGACCTGGCAATAAAATTCATGAGAAGAGGCAATAGAATTCATGAAAGAAAAAACTTTTCACATTTCTTGATGTAGGTTTATTTCAATTTTTTAACATGTTTACCAGACACAATCAAAATTTAAACAAATACCCATTCTTTTGAACATATCAATTAACACCTCTATGTAAATATACCCGAAATTATTTTTATGTACATATGTATGTAACATAACGTATACACACAACATATACATACATAATGTGTATACACACACACACAATGTTTAAATCTATTAAAAAACCAATATGTGGAATCCTCATGTTGTGATATAATTTTTCTTTTAGAATGCCACTTTTATTTTTTAATTTCTAGAACATTTTTTGAAGTTGTACTGATCATTCTGTTTGAATATATTTTAACTGATGACGCTTTAAATAAACTAGGCAAAAGTGTTTTAACAAAAATTAATGACGATGATGTTCTGTTTATACACCAAGTAAAAAAAAAAATGTATTCACAGAGACTTGGGAAAGTTTTTTTTTTTTATTAAAAATTAATGCAATTTCCAAATAAGTGAAGAAGAAAAAGAAGACAAATTTATTTTATTTATTTATTTTTTTTTTAATTAAAGTGGCCAAAATATTAATAATTCCAAAACAGTAGAGACATCAACTTCAAACAAGAATGTCAAAGCTGTTGTCAATAATCATGTTCAAGATAAAATAAGATTATTTATAGAAGTTGCAACAGACATCTATAATGTAAATGTGCTAAATGTAGATTAGACCTTTTTGAAGAAATGTAAGTAAAACTCCAATCAAAAGCATAATTCTAAATATTGCTATTTTGCATAAAATAATAAAATTTGCATTTCAATAGAAATTTTGTGTTTTTTGCAAAATTATAACAATAGGCCTACTTAAATTGCAAGTCAGCTAAATTTAAAATTCTATTAATAAAACTATCTTGAAAACTATTAATATTCTCTACAGAATTAACATATTCAAGATAAAAACACAAATTATTATAAACCAAAGATCAGAATTTAATCCAAACTGAATGATTAAACATTTCATAAAAATTAAAATATATTAAGCAAAAATACAGTAAAGCCTGTGTGAACTGGAATTGCACTGTATTAATGTAATCCATATGAGCTCAATGACATCAAACAAGCCAATTTGAGTACCAAGAACTAATCTCTAACTCTGCCATTAAATTTCTAAATTTCATTATAGTAACACACAGACCAAGTTATTTTGTGTTCCAACTTCAAAAATTTTAATAATCTAATTTTAAATTTCAATCTGTAATTTCCAATAGTTGCTCTTGAATATTCAGTACTAGTTAGTTACTAACTACTACATAAAAGTCAAAATGGCAGACCTATGTTACCTTATTTTCATTGTTTTTAATGAATTACATTTGTTGCTGTTCTCAAGAACTCTATTCTTGGAAACTCATTTAATTCTTGAAAGTTCTCAATTCTTAGAAGTATTCAATTCTCCCCTGGTTAATTCTAANATAAAATAAATTAAATTCAAAATAATCATCAATTTTATTTTCATTAATAATCATTACAGAATTCTTTAATGCAGTTTTGAAATTGTAGATCAGTAATATCTTAGTCTTGATCACTCTCATTTATTACTTCAAAATTTTTGAAGTAATAAATGTTTTATAAGTTTATCATTTATTAACTGATATTTCTCCTGCTCCAATTATGATCCTCTGTCATGAGAACTGATTTCTTTATTAGTACAGGTAGCCCTCGGTTTACGCCAGCTCAATTTACACTGATTCACAATAACACTGCTGCACAATTTGCCATTTTGCGATGTAATTCTCCGATTTTCCCTATGCTAGACTGATTTTCATTTCAGTGTTGATGTATTTACCGAGCCACAACATTGTAAATTCGTTAAAACAAAGATTTTTATTGAATATGTTTATTTTTTTCTGTTTAATATTATTGGGTATGTATACATTTGCATTAAATTAATATTAAAATACTAAATGTTTAGGTATCCACGAGTCAAGTTATTAAACTTAATAGTCCAATAAATGGTGTCCGAATCCATAGCGCCAATGAATGTATCATTGGATACAATGAATGTATCCCGTATCAGTTCATTCAGGAAAACACCTTAAGACGCAGTAGCACTTCTGGCGATCACAAACCATCATTAGTGAGACAAATCTACTTCTAGTTGGCCAGACAATACTTTATTAGCCAGACGATATCTACTTCTTGTCAGTCAGACGATATCTATCTCTCCTTAGCCACCTTGAATTTTCCTGCTCAAACTGACCTTATATATGTGCTATGGCAACCGGTGGTCGACAATCAGTGTCTCCACTCATCTGTAGCTCTACGTCGGGTTAATGTATCCTTTCAACTATGGAAAGTTTGATGGATGAACTTTGTGAGTTCGACACTGATTGGGAGTGAAGTGCAAATGTAAAAAGGAACATCATTGCATCCATTCGACCATATTCCAAAATTCTCAATGAAAGAAAACAAAAATATAAACAATTAAAGATGGATACTTTTTCTGAAAAATGTAAGAGATCTAAAACTAAATTTTTTAATAAAAACATTTCACTTTATTTTAAGATAAAATACATTTTAAAAATTAAATTTATTGTATTTTGTATTATATTGTATTAATAAACAAAACTATTTGCATATTTTTCACTTATGTAGAACCTAACCCTATACTTCAGTGTAAATATGGGTTCATTTTATGCTGATTTGATTTGCTCCAGCTTTTGTAGGAATGGAACTGCAGCATAAACTGAGGGCTACCTGTAATGTTTTGTAATATTGATTAAATATTTTATTAATTTGATAATTTATTATATAATAGAAGTATTTGGAAAATGTCAGATGAAAACAATATAATATTGAAGATCAAAATACATAAATTTCCAGAATGATTTTTATAAGAAATGTAAATGTATATATATTATCAATACATCATCAGTGGAAAAAAAAGTTAACATTGATTGAATATCTAGAACTAATAAAAACATGCAATACATACGAGAGAACATATTTAAATAAACTATTATTAAAAATTTTAATATGAAAATAATAAAAATCAATATGAAATTCACAAACCAAAAATATAAAAATTATAGTAATAAATTTTAATTAAAATTATTTATATATGAAGGTTGTATGAACAAAAGATTTATGTATATATTCTGAAAAATCGTTTGAAAAAGTAATAATTTGATTTTTTAAAACCAACTCTTACTTTTTTTTTTTAAATAGTGATGTTTTTTCTACTGTAAAAACAAACAGAATTTATATATTTTAATATATACTGAATATTCATTCTCCTCAATAGCTTTCTACTACATTACATACTTCTCTACTTACAAAATCTTTTTCATAAACATTATGAATAATAAAAAGAGCTATACAGAAGAATATTTCAAAAGTTATATTTAATTTAATAAAAAAATAACGTGATTAAAACTATTTTTCTGAATTATATTTAAAATTATGAATAAAATATAATATTAAATTTTAAATTAAAATTTCAATAATAAAAACTAAGTTAAAAAACTATCACATTAAAATTAACTGTACCCTAAACTCATCTAAAAGTTTTTCCTTTAAAGATGACATATCTTCCAATTGCTTCTTCAACAAAATTATTTCATTATCTTTATTTTTATTCTCTTCCTCAATATTCAGTATTTTAATATTTTCCTAAAATTGTTAAGACAATAAATATANAACATTTCACTTTATTTTAAGATAAAATACATTTTAAAAATTAAATTTATTGTATTTTGTATTATATTGTATTAATAAATGAAATTATTTGCGTATTTTTCACTTATGAAGAACCTAACCCTATACTTCAGTGTAAATATGGGTTCATTTTATGCTGATTCAATTTGCTCCAGCTTTTGTAGGAATGGAACTGCAGCATAAACTGAGAGCTACCTGTAATGTTTTGTAATATTGATTAAATATTTTATTAATTTGATAATTTATTATATAATAGAAGTATTTGGAAAACATCAGATGAAAACAATATAATATTGAAGATCAAAATACATAAATTTCCAGAATGATTTTTATAAGAAATGTAAATGTATATATATTACATCATCAGTGGAAAAAAACGTTAACATTGATTGAATATCTAGAACTAATAAAAACATGCAATAGATACGAGAGAACATATTTAAATAAACTATTATTAAAAATTTTAATATGAAAATAATAAAAATCAATATGAAATTCACAAACCAAAAATATATAGTAATAAATTTTAATTAAAATTATTTATATATGAAGGTTGTATGAACAAAAGATTTATGTATACATTCTGAAAAATCGTTTGAAAAAGTAATAATTTGATTTTTTAAAACCAACTCTTACTTTTTTTTTAAATAGTGATGTTTTTTTCTACTGTAAAAACAAACAGAATTTATATATTTTAATATATACTGAATATTCATTCTCCTCAATAGCTTTCTACTACATTACATACTTCTCTACTTACAAAATCTTTTTCCTAAACATTATGAATAATAAAAAGAGCTATACAGAAGAATATTTCAAAAGTTATATTTAATTTAATAAAAAAATAACGTGATTAAAACTATTTTTCTGAATTATATTTAAAATTATGAATAAAATATAATATTAAATTTTAAATTAAAATTTCAATAATAAAAACTAAGTTAAAAAACTATCACATTAAAATTAACTGTACCCTAAACTCATCTAAAAGTTTTTCCTTTGAAGACGACATATCTTCCAATTGCTTCTTCAACAAAATTATTTCATTATCTTTATTTTTATTCTCTTCCTCAATATTCAGTATTTTAATATTTTCCTAAAATTGTTAAGACAATAAATATATTTCAATTAAACATAATATTTATTAAAAATACAATAATGCACAATTGAAACTTAAAAGATATTTTGTTAAAAATATGTAACAATCCTTTATTATAATCATAATTTATTTAGTATTAAGCATGTATTATAAACAATACAGTAGAGTATCGATTATCCGACTCAATTGCAAACTCGGGTTGGTCAGATAACTGAAAAAAATTGGATAACCGAAAAAAATGAAAAAACACATTATTAATATAGTATATTGCTATTAACCAACTTTGCGTTTAATTTTCATCAATGTTAAGCCTAACAAATTTTTTTTTTAATAATAATCGTTGCTATTGTATCGTTACAACTTATTTTTAAATTATTTTATTGCTCACAAAACAAACAACCACTCGTAATTAGAAAATTAAGTCTCGTTTAAATACTGGCTTCACTTCAATGGTCGAGCCATGTTGCCAGCTAAAACACACAAATTTAACAAAAATAATATTAAAGTAGCCAAGACATAAACAAATATTGTAGTGCCACATCACTAGCAGACATTTGAAATTTGCCGACTAGAACGGTCGGTTAACCGGTGTGATGGTTAATCGGAGGTTGGATAATCGATGCTCTACTGTACTTTCTATTTAAACAACATTTACCACTGATTGTACTTAAATGTAAAATTAAATATAAAGTAGAGGATAAAAAATTCATTTNACACAGCTTTAATTTTTGACACTAGTGTATATTTTTGTATTGAATTAAAGTTTACATATATGATAATCCTAATTAAAGTAGTTCCATTCAACACTCTCTGAAGAAATGTCCAACAGTTCAAACAACCAAATTTTGTATGCTGATGTTTCAGGACATGCAGAAAAGTTTTTCACAGAAAAAACTTTAGTACCAAAACTCACCAATAAGGATCTTATGGCACAAGTGGAAAAAAACCATACTACAGACAGAAATTTCTAGGTGTAAAAAGCTGTCCATGCAGCACCACTAGACCTATAGTGATAAATTTTATAACTAAATTCCTCCACAGAAATTTCTTCCTGTTCTGAAACATCAGCATTTGGATTGCAACATCTCTTTCCAGACAGTATTGCATTAACTATGATCACCATGTATATACATGCAAACAAACATTACTTTAATATTTTCAAAATATTTATACTGAAGTATTTCTTTCATATAAAAATATATGATGAGATAAAAACAGTTACAAAATACAGAATTTGTTCAATAATAATTTTCTAATATAATTGATATCCTTAACATCAATTAAAGTTATGCTAATTTTAACTAACAAATTGAAAAATTTACTTTTAATTGAAAGTTTTATTTAGTTAAAAAAAATAAATGTTCTTCCTCCTCCTCCTGTCTTTTACAAGTCCTATCATATACTGTATATATTGGGTTGTTCGGAAAGTAAGTTCGTTTTTTTACCACTAGACGGATTAGTAGTATTTTTTCTGTCATTTTCATTCTAAACCATATTATCATTATATATTTTGTCAGCTAGCATTTTAAGGCTTATTTATAAAAAAATTTTGTTAGATTTTGTGAAATTATTTATTTTTTGTGTCCCATCAAATATGGAAGATCAAAAGCAGCTTTTTGGCATATTTTGCTCTTTTATTACTGAAAAGGTAAGAATGCTGTTCAAGCGAGAAAAAAATTGTGTGATATGTATGGAGATGTGTTGAGAGAAAGACAGTACCAAAACTGGTTTACAAAATTTCGTTCTGGCAATTTCAATATTGAAGATGCACCACGTTCTGGATGGCCAGTTGAAGCCAATGAAAACAAAATAAAGATACTGATTGAAGCAAACTGCTGAATAACAACACGTGAAATCACTAAGAGATTAAATTTGTCAAATTGAACTGTTTATGATTACTTGAAACAAATTGGTTT